ATTTTGAGATAGAATCTTATTAATAAGTTGCCTGGGCTGGGCTCAAACTTGGCGATCCTCCTGCCTCAACCGCCCAAGTTGGTGGGATTACAGATGTGCACCACCACACCCAGCTTCATATGAAACACTTTCCAAGAGTACATCAATAAAAACAAGACATCTCTATTCACTGAAAGAATATGACCTATTATTGTGCTGGTTATAATATGGGAATATGGAATAAATTCTATTTATAAAGTCAGAACAATCATTAAGCAGGGACAGTCATTATAGCCTACAAAATCCTCAGTAATTAATCCACTGAGAAAATGAATATAATCAGATAATACTACATTATATAAAACCAGATAATACCATAGTACATAAATATTAAAATTTTAACATTTTAGAATCAGTCTGATATCTAAAAAGTTTAAGAGAAAATATGCTAGAGTTGGTTTACTCTATATATTTTAAGTGTTTAGCAACATCCCTGAAGCACTCTCAAGGAAACTTGGAAGATAAAATTCATCTTACATAACAGAAATTTGGTTCTTCAAAATCAGCCTGGGAAGTTCCCTAACAATAGCATGATTTATCAACCTGAAATGTAGGGATCTTGGGAGTTTTGTGAAACCCTTGAAATAATTTGTAAATGTCATGCCAGTGTGGTTAAAATCCTCAACTTTCATTATATTCTGAAAAGTTCACCATTCAAAAAGGTGAAAATATTGAAACATTTTATAATCCAAATTATTATACCCAGTATATCAATTTACTCATATTTTCAATTGTTTCCTTGCAATTTGATATTTTCAATTTGGGTTATTTCAGCACATTCGAACTTAAAGAATCAAAAACAGAGTCTAAAGAATCTACTTATAAAAAAAATGGCTACTTACCCTGTAAATTTTCTGATATAATTTTTTCATTAACTTGCAATGCTTTTACTCCTATCCTTAAATCCAATGTGTTATTTTCTTGTACTTCTTCAGATTGTAGTTTTTCAAAAATACTTTCAATCCAGTTGGTATTATTTTTCAAACAATCAGGCAGTTCCCAAAATGAAGTTGCTGCACATGTATCAAACATAGTGGTACTTTGGGGATTATGTTTTCCACTACCAACTTTATTTCTCAGTGTTAAATTTCTAGAAGCCAATTTTTTCCTAATATGTATTTTCCTTAAGAGGCTCTTATAGACATCTTTCCTTTTTATAGGTTTCTGCTTTTTCAGCTTTTGGTTCTCAGCACACATACAATTTATATGTTCTTTTCTGAAACAATTTTGATCTAACAATGCACAAAAAGGCTTATTCTGTAATTTATATTGGATTTTAGTAGATCCAGTAGTCGTAATTGCATCAAGATGAGCTGAATCCTTAGAATACATTGCAAGACCAGATGCAACTAATATATCTGCCAAACTGTTTTTCTCATGAAAGACATCTACTTTCAGTTTTGTTTCAAAATCACATTCCCTAAACTGAAAAACTAAGCCTGGTTTGCTTAGAAAATCTTGAAAAAAACTTTTGACTTCTTCATTCCAATGTTTCCCTGTAATAGGTAAGATGCCATGTAAGATACATGGATAACTCAGCCTTGGCAAATTCAGAAGTTCCTCAGGAACAACTTTAAGATTTATTATGTCTGAATAAGTTATATAAAGAGAAAATCCATAGTCAATGAACACAAGATGTAAAGACCTATCATGGACTTCCGAAATTTCTACTCTATTCCATTGATCTTCCAACTCATATTTGAATAAACAACTAGAACCAGGAATTATGAGCTCTTGAGGCAATGTTTGTAAGGTTTCAGGTAGATCAGAAAGCAACATAAAAATATATTTCATTGTGTCAAAGAAATCCTCCAACTGAACACAGAAGTCTGAAGGATCAGAAACAGCAGTGGCAATACCAGAATACTGCCGACCATTTTGGAGTTGTGCCCAAGTAAAGGATCTTATTGCACATGATGACATAAGAGTCTGAGATTCCATGTTGAAAATTATTCCTGAAGATTGAAGTTTGTTTTCTTCAACCTGATCCATATTGAAATTTAAATATTCCAAAAGTAACATGCCATCTACCAAAATTTCTACTTCCCAAGCAGAGTCTAAATATTTCAGGAAGAGAACATTTATTTCCAAATGAGCAAATAAACACACAATGGACTCAAATGGTTTGTTCCTAGAATTTTCAAACCAAATCCATTTACAAGGCACAGCTTGTTGTGGAATATTTCTGATTTCACCACTAAGCCCCTTGGTATTATTTAAAGGCACTACTTCACATCTACCATGATCTACTAAAAAAACAAGCACTTTCCCATCAATACACTTTTTTTCTACTTTTGATCGGTACCACTTTAAAGTTTTTTTAGATTTTGCCAGGCATTCTAAACCTTTTTCAACATTTTCCATTGATAAGAAAGAAGGGTTTTGTTCTTCTTTAGCAATTAATAATGTTAAATCTGATAAGATTTTTTTATTTTTGGACAACTTCACATAAAATCTTCCACTCTTTGAAACATAAAGTATTTCAGCTTTTTCAAGCTGACCGGGTTTTAACTCCTCAAAAGGAATTTTCACCAGCTCCTGGTAGGAAGGCTGAAGGCTCACAGAACTTTCAGATTCACTTGATCTTCCTTTTTTCAATTCATCATCAACACCAAGACTCACCTTCTGAGAGACAACAGGAGGCATTTGCAATACTGTCTTCTGTAGTTTTGAACATGCTGTCCATTTCAGTAGTTCATTAATGACACATTTGTCATCACAGATTATATTCACTTCCCATTTCTGGTCATGCTTTTTCAAAAATTCACAAGAAACTGTTTTGTTATTTACTCTTGAAACAAAATAATCCACAGTTTTGCTGTCCCATATCTCATTGGGCTCATTCCATTTTACTCCACTAAGAAAAGAATGGATTCCTAGTGGAGGGATAGCTAAGAATTCCTTCTCAAGTTCATAAATTTTAGATGCGCTTACTATTGCAGTATTGCCATAATCTATAAATTCTACTTCAAAAGAATTATCTGGCAAAATTTTCTTAATTACTGCTCTGTAAATGGCACTGTCACCAGAGTACTCTGCAACGACAAGATCTCCCACCAGCAGTTTAACTGAATTTTGCTTTTTCACTCTGTTTTCTTTTCTTTCATTTAGAGCATCTGCAAGTCTAATGATTATATTTTCACTCTCCGCAAGCTGAATATGAAAACTTGCTGGATTACTGATATTAGATACATACCCTTTTACTTGAGCATTCAAGTAAATTTGGGGTTGAGGAAGGTCTTTGGTCTGTGGTCTAATAAGGTTATGTGGGTTTTGTGAGGCTGTTTGAGTTAACCCACCAATAAATGACTGAGATACAACCTTTACCGATTTTTGGCCCACATCACTTTCATCAAGAATATGTGCACACCCAGGGACAATTTTTACACTTTTATTTTTAAGTCCATCATTCAATGACTTCTTTACTTTGTTTTTAGACACAGGTTCAATTTTGTAACAAACTGATGGTTTCAAAAGCCTGGCATATATACTTTTAGGATGCACTAATTTATCTGTTTTGTTTTCAGAATATGTTACTAGACTACTTTTACTTTTCACATTATGGTGATAGTTTTTTTCTATTTTGCTTTTCAGAGAAGCAGCAAGCCTCTTATTCTCACTTAATTTATGAGTCTTTTCCCCATGCTGTGCTTGGTCAGAATGTTTTTTTCCATAAGCATGAAGCAACATTTTAATTTTCTGATTTATATGTTGATACCCATCATATAATTCTATACCAAGCTGGCCATCTGACTCCCTGGACAATATTACTGCCTTCAGTGGTTTTCCCAAGAAATTGTTTTCAAACCAGCTATTGATTTCTGCTGGAATATCTATGTCTCTAAGATCTGATAAAAAACACTTAATAGCTTGCATAGGTATAAATAGCAACTCTGGAAACTGACTTGAAATGGCCCTCAACATGTTTTCTTCTACTAACTGCTTATTTCCAAAATCCACAAAATAAACTAGAAAGTCAGATGATGAATCTGTTCGCTTTGCTAAAGCTCTATATGAGAGACCATCTTCCACATATTTACATATGCACAACCTCATTTTATTAGAATCATATTTTGGACAATTTTTGAGGCTAATCATCTCTGTGATTTTTGTTTCTAGCATCTCCAGATCTTTATCATTTCTACTAAGCTGGCAATAAAACTTTTGGGGACTGTATATATGAGATATATACACTTCTTCTTCACTTCCAATTTTTATGTTAAAGGAAGAATAATAGAAACTGTAAAGACTAACTGAGGATGAAAGTGGCTTTGATAACATGCTATATTGTGCAGAGCCACAATTAATAAATTCTTTTGCACTAGTAAATGAGGATCTTAAATCCACTAAATTACATAAACAGTTTGGATGTTTAAGAACTAAAGCATAGATAATACAAGTCAATAATCCTTTAGATGAAGTAATAAAATTTCCAAAGTCTCTGGATGTTTCTCTTGTCCAACTAAATAATTTACAACTAATGGGTTCAACTAAACAGTTAAGACAACATCTGAAGGCCTGACCTTCTAAAAAAAGAAAATTTGGATTAATTGCACAAAGATCTTTAATTAAAACTCTTTCTTGGTAACCATAGTCAACAAATATTACATCAACTTCTTTTTTTGATACATGTGTCAAAACAGCAGCTCTATACCACTTYCTATCTTTGGAATACTTAGCAACACAAGCAATCTGACCAATCTGATAAGGATCAGAATGAATGCTATAATAATTCTGTATTTCTTCCATCAGTAATTTTAGGTCTTCTAACTTACATTGTAGTTGGCATGAAAAATCACCTGGGCCATAATAATAAGAGCATTTAACTTCAAGAACTGTTCCTGGTTTAAACATATATTCCTTATATGTCCATGATGACCTAGGTGCCACAGACAAGGTGAAAAAATTTTTAAAATCTGAGAAATTAACAGTTGGTGACTCAGACAAAGGTGAGCAATTTTCTTCCAGCTTATTTGATTGCTGCTTTTTAGACTTAGGTCCTTCAAGAAGGGCAGACACAACTTTCTGAATATTAACTTTGTTATTGGATTTTAAATTTAAAACAGAATATTCACTTTCAGATTTTGGAAAACATTCGGGTTCTACTTCCCAATATTCTGCATATCCAGCTTGTAACATAAGAGAGACAACATCAATATTTTCTGAGGCTTCGATACTCTGAATATTTACAGTGTACTTGTCATCTTTTTTTGCTATAACTTGAAGCAAAATTTCTTTGTTCAAAACAATTTTTTTAAAATAATCAATTGCTGCCTTTACCCATAAATCTTCAACAGGAAATATATGTGCAAGTGAACAGCACATGGCTAAGGCAGGCAACTCACAAAATTCTGGAAGCAAAATTTTTACATCAAAAAATGGTATGGAATCAGTATTTCCATAATCCAAAAAATAAACATTAATCTCATAACCATTAATTTCAGTTATGACAGCTCTGTAAAAACATCTGTCCTTGCTGTATCTAGCACAACAAAATAATCCAGGTTCAGGATTTCTTAGAATTAGTTCATCGTTTTCACACAAATCATAAAATTTGTTTATATTTTTCATTATATCTTGAAATTCATTCTGATGGGCATTGGTACGCACCCAAAAATTTGATGGGTTTAATACATATGCTACAAAAGCTACATAGGCAGCCTCCACCTCCATTTCTACAGTTTTAATAGGAAAACCTACTTTTAAAATGTCTCTTTTATTTAGACAGTGTACTGACTGTTCAGTATTTCCAAKAAAACCTTCAGTTGCAAAGCTGTTTACATCAGAAGTACTTGTCTCACTCAAAGTATTAGAGATTTTTGGATCAGACACTGGACAAAATACTTGTGTGTCTACAGTCTTCAGGAGACATTTAGAATTAATTGTAGACTCTTGAGCTTGTAATGTTACATAATACAAATGCTCATCCTTATTGAAGCAATCAATGTGTGCATATACTATTTGTCCTAATAAAGCTTGTTTAAATACACTCAGTTGAAGTTTTCTCGCATCTCTATCTGGACTGTGTAAATATGTCAGAGAACATGGAAATGAAAATAATGGTACTAAAATAAAATCCTGTTTCAGCTTCTTTACGTGAATTGAGGGTATAGCCTCACTACTGCCGTAATCCATAAACCAAATTTTTACTTGATTATTGGGCAAGAGTTGTTGAAGAATTCCTCTATGCCACTGTCCATTTCTCCTTTTGGCAACACAAAGTAGTCCAAAATTATCACAAGTGGGGCTAGTTTCTTGACTGATAATATCATAATGCAAAGTCATACATACTGTCAGGTTTTCTAGCTCTGGAATCCATTTAATTAATTGACAATAAAACTTACTTGGGCTCAATGCTGATGATACCTTTACACTTTCAAAACTTCCTACTGACAAAGATGGCTGCAAATTATCCAGAATATGTTGAACATCAAGTAAAGTATCATTATTACTTAATGGTAATTCAGATTCTTTATGTTGTAATAAATCTGGCATTTGTTGAGGGAATTCTTTTAACATTTCCACAATAAGACGAAATGAATCTCCATCAATAAATCTCCCTAATTGTAATTCAAGAGCCTGGGATATAACTTTTGGCACTTCAAGAAGAATCATTTGCAAAGGCAAAATAGCTTGCACATAACCTTTCAGTTGTATTCCTACTAATGACTTGAAATAATTCAAAGCCTTAGGAGACCATTTTTCCCCAAGTGGAAGTATATTGGCAAAAATTCCAAAAACTACGCGTGGTGGTAGATCAAATAAATTATCACAGGCTGAAGCAACATGCATACTATCAACTCTTAGCTCTTCTCCACGATCTATGAGGAGTACCGTGTACAGTTCGTTTTTCTTGTCTACAACTCTTCCTCTCTGCCATTCTCCAGTTGCTCTTTCTTCTACCAAACAAAGTTCATCAATGTTTACATTATTTTTTACTTTTGGAATATGTTGTATTTCCCTCTGCAATATGTGGTAGTCAAACTCACATTCACTATTATTTCTGCCTTGAAATTTCACCAGAATATTCTTGGGAAGACATTCAATATGTGATACTGTCAGATCCACATCTAAAAATGTCGGGAACAGAGATGTAGAATCCATTTTCTAGAAATCAAATAAGTATGAATTAGCTTCTAAACAGATAACTTCCAAATTAAATACAATGAGCCTTACATAAATTTGGTATATAAACATGTCTTAAAAATAATTCTATGCCCGTATTTCATCAAATTAAACATGCTGGCAAAAATTATATATACCAGACAAGATATTAGTTAGATAAACAAAATRTAACAGTCCACTACCTCCTGCATTTTTAAAAAAATCCACTGAAATAACAAGAAATCAAAATAAAAAATAAGGAGGAGTCAGATACGATAGTGCACACCAGTAATCCCAGTGACTCAGRAGGCCGAGAAAAGAGGACTGAAAGTTCAAAGTCAGTCTCAACAATTTTTAAAGACCCTCAGCAATTTAGCAAGACCCTGGGGATATACTTCAGTGGTGAAGTACCTCTGTACTCAATCCCTTGTACCTCCCCCTRAGAAAAACAGGGAAAATATGTGTCATCACTGGAAAACAGAAAAGAGCAATCTTTATTTCTCAGAAAACTTAACCAATTTCTATTAGATATTAGATGTGGTATGACAGAAAGTACCAAATAATTCTCAGTAGAGACCTCCTCCACCTCCTTTGAGAAAAGACTTTCCCTTCTGTAGACTCCTTCCAACAACCCGTACTCCAAAAGAGTGAGTGCAAGAAGCAAGGGCAGATGATGAACCAGTGAGGGCACACTCCATGCTATGTTAATTAGCAATATTTGGACCCTGTTAGAACCATTAGGCAACCCCAGGATTCTTTTTTGATTTGAGGGCAACAGACTGATACCTAGACACCATTAAGGGAAGCCAAGCACAGAAAGACACTGAAACAGGTTGGGTATATTCAGGTCTTGTCACTGGAATGGCTGGCCACAACAGGGGAAAAGAGGAAGACATTTTAAGCATACAAGCAAAGTCTCTCTACCATAGCTAAACTCCAGATTTGAGGGATCTAAAAATAGTAAGGTATAAAATATTTCCCAAATTAACTCAGGAACAAGAACCTATAAGAGAAGACAGTTCAACTCTTCCTTGACCAAGTTACAGTTGGCACATATCAATTTCTATCTATGAGGATAAAAGCACTGAAACTTAAAAAAAAAARAAAGTGAGAGGATCCACTTAAAAGAAACCTTGGAAATTTCTCCCCACCCCCAGGAATAAGTGAATTGAAACAGAAAATAATTTCTTTCCAAAAATCTGATTCCTGTTCTCAAAATCATCAAAAAAGGATAATGCATTTTTATCAGACATAGTAGTCATGAAGAYGTAACAACTGAGATTAGGAAAATCTACACACACTCACAAGAAATTTAAAACCACAATTAAGAAAGTGAACCCAAAATAAAGATAAATAAAAGAAAAATTTGATATAACACCCAAAAACTTAGGGGAAAAGGATAAAAAGATGAAAAAGAAGCATGCTAGACAGGAATATAAAATCTTATTAAAGTATAAATGATATATTAGAAAAAAGATCAAACAACAAAACATAAGTGCTTTCTAGGATTTAAGAACCAAGTTTACAAACTGCAATAGAACACAGGCAATCTAGAAAAAGGAATAAGATTTAGGGACATCTGAGTACTCGCTATGGCTTTTATTTCCTCCTAGGTAATTAATTTGGTGTCATAATCAACATGGTATCAGCCACAGAAATTCCTGGCCATGCTTACTTGACTCTGGAGTTTCTAAGAATAAATGGACAATGGGCAATACACTCAAGACTGTAATTAGAATAAGAAAAAAAACTTTTTGACACGAAATACCTTCTTAAAACTTTATTATTTAAAACATAAAAAAAAAGTTTTATTAAACCAGTGGTTCTCAAACCTTTGGTCTCGGGACATTTTTATACTCTGAAAAGTTATTAAGGACCTCAAATTGCTTTCATTKACGTGGCTTATCTCAACATTTACCACAGTAGAACTAAACCCTGAAATTTTWAAAAATATTACTCAGTAATTCATTTAAAAATATCAATAAACCCACTAAAACGTTGACATAAATATTTTTAAGAAAGATAACATTTTTCAAAACCAGTTGTTTACCTTAAAGTGACAGCCTGTTTCACCCAGCAAAATATTCGAACATGAGTAACTCTAGTTTTAGTATGTCTTAGAAGTAAAAATGGTATTTCTATTCATCGTTATATCAACAGCTTTTCCTAGAGTTAATCAGTACAGTTCAGTATCAGTACAAGTGTTTTATGAATACTTTCCATTTCATCACATGAAATACTAACAGACATGTCTTCAAGGGTGAACCTGTAACATTTTTACTGCTTAAGAACACTGTTTGTTAAGAAATTGATACTTTTGTTTGTTTGTTTGTTTACTGCAACTGTTTGGTAGTGAAAAATACAACTACCAACACAGTTTAGTGCTCCTACTTGATTTGCAGTGAGATGACAGTAGTTTTACCTATGATTGCTTCTGTATCATGAATTCCAATGTTAACCCAATGAAAAAGGCAAACATTTACAAGGTACCAAGACAGTACATGAGCAAATAATAATATTTTCAGTAAATGGTCTTGGAACAACTGTACATTTACATGCAAAAGAATGAGGTTGGACCCCAACCTCTTACAATCTACATAAATTAACTCAAACTGGATCAAACACCTACCTGTAAGAACTAAAACTATAAATCTCTTAGTAATAAGCCTTCTTAGTAATAAGGCCATGGTGTGGCTTCTGAGTTATGATTCCAAAAACATTAGTAACTAAAAAGATAATTTGGACCATCAGAAATAAAAAGTTTTGTGTTCCAAGGAAACCATTAAGAAACTAAAACAGGGTCTAGAGTTGTAGCTCAGTGGTAGAGCGCTTGCCTAGCACATGTGAGGCACTGGGTTCAAATTTCAGCACCACATAAAAATAATTAACTAATTAATTAATTAAAGGTATTGTGTCCATCTACAACTAAAAATTAAATAAGGAAAAACAACAACCCACAAAATGGAAAAAAATATTTGCAAATCACATATGATAAGTGACTTGATCCACAAAGTATATAAGGATCTCTTAAAGTCAACAATAAAAAGACACATAATACAATTTTTAAATGGGCAAATGATTTGACTAGACGTTTCTGAAAAAAAAAGATATGAATGGCCAATAAGTATATTAAAAACTATTTGTTCTCATTAATAAATGCTGGCTGTATTAAAGAAAATGAACAACTACAAGTATTGTCAAGGATATGGAGAAATCAAAACTCTCTACATTATTAGAGGAATTATAAAATGGTACAGCCACTTTGGGAAACATTTGATGATTCCATAAAAAGTTAAACAGTAAGTTCACTCTCATATATAAACCCAAGAAAAGTGAAAACATATGTCTACACAAAAACTTCCCCAAGAATATTCATAGCAGCATTATTTAATAACTCAAAGTGAAAGCATCTGTCAAATGATGAATGGRTAAACACAATGGTATAGCCRTACAATGGAATATGATCTAGCCTTTTAGAAAGGTGTAATACAGAGGAATGTCACAACAGGGGTAAATCTTGAAAACATTATTCTAAGTGAAAGAAAACATATACAAAAGGCTGCATATATGATTTATAACTTAATTTAAGTAAAATGTCAAAAAAGKTATATCCACAGAGATACAAAGTAGACTACTAGTATCAGAAATTACGTGGAATAGACAGTGTTGGTTAATGAGAACTCAGTTTCTATTGAAGATGATGAAAATATCCTACATTAGACACTGATGGTGATGCACAACTTTATGGATAAATTTAAAACCATTGAATTTACCCATTTTTCACTTTAAGTGGGTAAATTTCATGGCATGGGCATTATATAAACCAATTTAGTTATTTTTCAAAATATTGTTTTAGTCAAATTCTTCTTATAATCAATTGAACTTTATGAAAGCCTCTGTAATGAACTATAAAATTGATTACTTATTCTATTGATGGTTTATGTATCTTCCCACTTATTTGAACAAATCCTCTATGAAAACAAAAATGTTTGTCTGATATGTTTATTGCCTATAGCCAACTCCTAAAATTAACTCTTTCACATAGTAGGCACTTACTGAATATTCTTGAATGAATGGCTAAAGGACTTATGTCCAGATACAACAGGCAACTATTAATCAATGCAAAAATAAAAAATAAGCTAATAGAAAAACACAAAAAAATTGAAATTATAATTCATTTAAAAACCTGTTAACTCTATGAGACAGTCGATTACAATGGTTATCAGGAAAAAATAAATTTTAAAAAGAGATAACAATATTTGCCTATCTAATGGGTTAAATCTGATCACACTGGGTGCTAACAAAGGCAATGTAGAGTAGAAATTTCAGTATATTGCTGGTAGGAGAACATCTATCCTAGAAAATAATTTTATAACACCTCATGATACTTGTATTGGAAATACCTCATGAAGTTAAAGACCCTTTACTTATATTTCTGGATGCCTCCCTGAATTAGTATCGTAGTTCTGCCATAACAAAATATCAGAATTTGGGTGGGTTCAACAGGAGAAATCTACTTTCTTCTAGTTCTGGAAGCCAAATTCTGAAATAAAGGTGTCAGTGGGGTTGGTTTCTTGGAAGGCTTGAGGAAGAATCTGTTCCATGACTTTTACCTTGCTTCTGATGATAGCTGGCAATCCTTCCATTCCTTGGGTTGCAAGTATGTTAGTCTAATCTCTGCTTACTCACCTCACATGGCATTCTCCCTTAGTGTCTACGTCCTAATTTCCCTCTTCTTAAAAGAATAACTAGTCAGATTAAGGCTCACTCTTTGATTATATCTATAAAGATTCTATTTTCAAATAAAGTCACATTCACAATTAGCTCAGTCCAGACTACAACCTATCTATTCAGGGGACATAAGTCAACCCATTAAACTTCCCTACAAATGTACAAAGATATTCCTTATATCACTGTTTATAAAAGTAAGAACCTGGAAACTAATTATTGTTCCTTGGCAGGGCAGTAAATAATTACATATAATACCTTAAATAAACTAA